GTAATATTTACTGGACAGGTACATTTTATATGAAACGTATAAGTGTATGATTTGTTGTGTATATTAATTAATATGTGGATTATGATAGATGCATAAAGGAAAAGTAGATAGGAACTTTTAACCCCAGAAAAAAGGTAGATGGGAACATGATTATTGTTAAAGTAAAATCCCTAAAGAAGGGCACTTGCGGGTCCATAAGGTTTATAGTATGTTCTACGATTTTGACACAAAGTGTTCGTCCCTTAAGAGCCTTAGGTAAATAATTTGGACCAACTTTGGACTAACATATTTACCTTACTTTTTTTCCTAATATATATCAAAAATCTGTGATATATGTTCACACGGTGTGTAACAAACACATCCCAAGTAATCACTACATATTTTCCTGACTTGAGAAACATAAGTTGATTTCATCTAGATGCCGGACCGGTTTTAATGTGGGACCGGATTTAATGTGGTGCAAGTGGTGGATTTGCACCATGTTCAACTGATTTTTACGATTTTTCATTTGAGTTTTATAGTAATGTTTAAAAATATAGGGGTTTTGAAAAAAAATTATTAAAGTTTAGGATGTTATTTAAAATTTTTGCACTATGTCAAATCTTTAATTGAGCAGATGTGAAAAGAGAGTTAAGTAAAAAAAACATGAACAATATTCAAGTCTCCGGTATGTATCTGAGTTTTAGGTTGCTTTTGAGAATATATAATTTTGAAACTTATTTCTATTTAGTTTTTTTTTTTTAAAGAACTATTGCTGATTCGATGAAACGTGATAACTACCTCTTTGTTTTCTGCACTTTTTACATCATGTCATTCCTGTACGAAAACATATGATCATTGGTTTTTTAGATCATACATAAAATTTGCAAATTTCTGACTTTTAGTTAGCTTAAAAAAAAAAGACTCATTTGGAGCAAAAAAAAAAAGAAGGGAAATGTATATTTTATTATATCATTTCGTTAATGTTTCAAAATTTAGACCATTTGTTTATTTGTGCATCTCGTTTTTTCGCGTGGGTTTTTCGAGTTAATATTTTATGTATCGTTCCAATTTTATCGGATGTTTTAAGGGACGGACTCATTGGC